TAGTTTGTTTCAACCATGTCTCCTCTAGGCTCTGCCTACCACACCAGATCCTCCCTCAGCAGCAGAGCCAGTGGTCTCCCCCCCAACCACAGGATAAAGGACAGAGATTATCTCGGCTGGATGGACTTCGGACGGCGTAGTGCAGAGGAGTACGAATACTAGTCCTGAAGGCACGGCTTTGTTTCTTCGAACGCTGAGCCCAAAACCTCCAACATCACCAGTTAAAGTTTTTATTTTAAAAAACCTGGAGCCCTTTTCACACTGCACTCTCAGCCCACCAGAGCTGACTTAGTGAGAAGTATATCTCAGCACATATCCTTCAATCTACGAACCACAAACTTCAATCCAAAACTTACGGCACATTATTGTATATCTGTGTTGCTGTTAAGACCAAAGGTAGCAATGCTTGTCCATCCCGCAGTGCTTTCTTAGTCCCTCACTCTCTCTGTGGTTTGGATGGTAATCACTAAAAATGAGTCACAAAAAAAGTTGTTTCATGGAAAAAATGTGTTTTGATTTCTAAAAATATGGGGTCATTGTAATTTTCTAACCAGCATAGAGTTTTTAATTTGTTTGGCAGTACTTTCTTACTTAAAGTTACATGAGTAGCTCACGATCTGCTAATGCTATTAGACATTGCACAGCAGATGCTTGTTAGCATAAATTCATTGTTAGTTAAGTTGTCTTTGACAAATGCAATGTTAGCTTTTTGGTGTTAACAGATCAGTGAAGAAACAGTAGGTCTGGTATAACAATGGGAAATGCCACATTTCCGTTTCAGTGGATATACAGAGCTTAACTAAGAAATCACAAATATTTTAGCAATGAGTCAAAACTTGTTTAAAACGAAAAAAGATCATTTATCATGTTTATATGACTAAATTTAAGCCAGTGCTCTGAGAACTGCACTAAAAACATCATTTCGATTAATATGCTGCTGGATTAACCCATTACAGAAACATTAAAAATGATTTTGGCAGTTACCAGTATTGTTAATTTAGGGCTTCTGTGACATTAAACTTACACTGGGTGGAGATCTAATTAATTTGTTTAGCACTGTAAGTCCAACAACTTCAACTGTTAAAAAGCAAAACTTACAAAAAGCTGTTAAACATAACACCCTTTAAATATATTTCCAGTGAGAAAAATCAGTGTCTTAGGATTTAGACATTCGTATTTTAAAGTACTGTTAAAATGCTTAATTTTACTGAGCGTTACTGTATGAATGTATCTGTAGACTTTTAATGTGCCCTTAAGGTGTCCTCTGCAAACTAATCTTCATAAAAATTACACAATAAAAAAACAAAAACGACACAACAATAAAAAGCATGTTGTTTCATATCACACCATGCTCAACACTGAATGTGACACATCATTCAAAAATCTTTGATCGTGCTAGAAACTGGGAGAACTGGGTGAAAAGTGGCTAACATGGCAGGCTGCTGCAGTGTGCAGTGTGAAAAGGGCAAAACAGGTTTTGACAAGCACAAAGTGTTGTCTGTTTGATACCTGGGAGTCTCCCTGACTTTGCATAATGGACTTCAGTGGCAGACACAATAATATCAGGATGCTGCAGATATTAAATCTACAGATTAGAAATGTTTTCTTTTCTTTTCTTTTTTTTAACGGCCTTTATTATATATAAAGGTTAACTCTCTGTATTAAATCATTTGTTTCTACAGATTCAGTGAAACTCCAAATAAAGCTTTGTTTTCCTCCAACGTCAGCAAGAAATGCAAACGCTTTCTTTTCAGTCTCATGATCTTATGGTTTCAGGGCACAGGTGGTGGGGCAGTTCTCTATATAGTGTTAGATTTGATCACTGCAGAAGAGAAAGAATGGATGTCTCTTTTTTTTACAAACCTTTAGTGCAACCCAGTGTGGGATTTCAGCAAATGAAAGCCAAAACATTTTCATTTGTGCCCACTATAAGTAAAATAGCTTTCCCGGGATTAGCATTGGGACAAAGGAGCTGGTAGCTAGAAAAGGTTATAATTTAAATCAGACTTAAGTCTCAAAGAGCTCATTTTGCCTTTAAAAGTGTTTGTGTTCATGCCTGGGGATTAATTAAAGTGGATTATGTTAATGATCTGTTAGTCCTAATGCAATGAAGTTAGGATGAGTACTGTGAATAAAATAAAAAGCCCTAAAATAATAAAAACAAATCTCCTGGTGAAATGAACTAAATGCTGATGAGGGGCAAAATAAAAAATTATCTTCCTCACAAATATGAAAACAGAAAGACAAATTAAACTCTGGCTCTGTTTCTAATTAAATTTGTACTTGAAGTCTTTGTGTGCGAAACTGGCAAAAGTGATATAAATATACTGATAGGTGCTCTTTGATGAACATGTGGAAAGGAATTCTCTTCCGTTTATCCAATTTAAAGTGACGGGGAGGCTGGAACTGACCCCAGCTGCCATAGAGCGAGAGGAGACACCCCGAACAGGTCGCCTGTTACAGGACCAATGCAGAGAGACAGATAATCATTCATAGATTTATCAACTTACTGTGATATTAACTTACCAATATTGGTTATGATGTTATGACAATGAAAAATCCCATCATAGCTTAAAGACCTTACACTAAAATATTATCACAATAGAGTACTTCTGTCCCAGATTGCAGGCTTACTTGTGATTCATTCAAATCTACTGGAAGTTGGACCAGTGAGGCCATGAGATAAGTGAACCATTTTGAAGAAGAAGTCTCACAATTACTAATATACACTACCTGGCTTAGCTTTGATTACAGCAGGCATTCGCTGTGGCATTGTTTCAAAAAGCTTCTGCAATGTCACAAGATTTATTTCCATTCAGTGTTGGATACATTTTTTTACCAACATCTTGTACTGATGATGGTAGTGTTTTTTCTTTTACCTTTCAATACGGATGGTCTGTTTTCTGTTTTGATCAAGAGCCTTTTTTTGGGCAGCTGAAGAGGAGAAGTCTATCTTATGTCCAACCTCTGGCTGTATCTTGGTCACATTACCCAGCAAAACCCAGTATGCAGGTTCATCTGTAACAGTCCTTGTGCCACAGATCAACACTGTTGCTTCTACATTAAACAGAAGAGCAGCGACGTGGGTGCAGGTCTCCACGACTCCGGCCTTACAGCTGCAGTGGGCGGCTTCAACCTTCCCTGTGATGCTCACAATGACCCATGGCTGCAATGCTGGTTCATTCAGTCTTTGAGAGGGCAGTACCTGAAACACACACAGACCCCAACCCCAGATCACAGCACTGCCCCCACAGACTTGTACAGTAGGCATGATGGGTGCATCACTTCATCTGCCTCTCTTCGTACCCTGTTGCGCCCATCACTCTGGAACAAGGTAAATCTGGACTCATCAGACCACATGACCTTCTTTCATTGCTCCACAGTCCAATCTTTATGCTCCCTAGCAAATTGAAGCCTTTTTTTTTCGGTTTGCCTCACTGATCAGTGTTTTTTTTTTGGGCTCCACATCTATTCAGTCCCAATCTGTTGAGTTCCTTTTGCATTGCGTGTGTGGAAATGTTCTTATTTTCACTATTAAACATAGCCCTGAGTTCTACGGTTGTTGTTGTTTTTTAAAATTAGATTTCACCAAATGTTTAAGTGATATCCGATCACAATCAATTTTTTCCGGCCACGTTTCTTCCTCGAAGACGATTGGGTACCCACAACCCTTCCACTTTTTAATAATGCGTTGGACAGTTCTTAATCCAATTTTAGTAGTTTCTGCATCTCCTTAGATGTTTTCTTTTATCGATGCATGCCAATGATTTGACCCTTTCCAAACACTATCATCTTTTCCACGACCACGAGATGAGTCTTTCGACATGGTTGTTTGTGAAATGAGAAGCAACTCATTGCACCAGTTGGGGTTAAACAACTTGTTGCCAGCTGAAAGACAATCACCTATGCAGTAATTATCCAATAGGAGGGCTTGTACCTATTTGCTTAGTTAAATCCAGGTGGTTACCTTTTTTTGGCCAGGCAGTGTAATTACATTACTAATTTACAGACTTACGGACACACATTTAAATAAAAAAAAAAAAGTGGTATTGCAGTATATGAACAGTCGATTACTGGATACCTTAATGACCTCCACAGACTGTTGTGTGCAGTAATTACCTCATTGATTTGTTAAAAAGTGCAAAGATGTGTGAGAGATGAATTGTGGGGCTTCTGTGGGAACAGCAGGAAAAAGAAGACTCACACACGCTTGGAGTTGAATTTTCACAAACTTGTAATGAAAGATACTTTTCATTTTTGCCTTTATACACAAATACAGCTCATAATGTTGCCTGCTCTATTACGTGCTAACATTCACAACATTCATTCATATTCAAGTGACTGACTTTGATGTGCCGTCACAGAACTGTCACCACTCTATGTTTTCGTGTGCAGAACACAAGAAGGACCAATGTAATAGAACACAACATGGTTATATTACCTTAAGTAATAATTTGGTAACCCTCTGTTTACATTGAAAACATGTTGAATGATCAGACAACTCAATGAATTTAATGTAATGAGTGAAATACTACTTGGTGGCATTGCTTGACTGATTTTTCAGCGCAGTTTCATCTGTTGTTGGATAAAGAGAGATCGTCATTGAGCTGCACTTGAGGACAGTATGAATGAAACTTAACATGCTTCCTGGTTGGAGGCTCATCGAATACACAAGAATATTGTAGCTCTCTGCTGGAGTCATCTGAAGTTTTTCACTTTCTATTCTAAGTTTTCTGCATGATTACGGTGAGTACACCTATGTCACACATATGAAATAAGAATTTCAGCTAAAATTTCTCTTTATTAAAAAATGGTGGCATGTGTTATCTGCACACAGGATGAAAATGTCTCTTTATATAGACAGGTGGGTATCTGCTGGTCTCTTAGCTCAGATTTATCCATCCAGTCTCGTTCAAAGTCCTGAACTCAGTTGATCTGCTGTAGTAAGAGTATAAGTCATTTTGAAAAAGGTATTTTAAAAACAACAACAAAATGACTAGTTATGTTATAATGGGTCTGTTTATTTATTCGTTTTAGATGCACTGATTACCATCGTCCTCACACACTCTATTGAAAACAGACATGCACACATTCACGCTCCAACACGCAGACACATTTGAAATAATCACCATCTGACATTCAGAACATGTTAAAAACCAGGAAGACATGAAACAATCAATATCAGTTGTACAAAGTTTACAACAACAGAACAATACCAACTACCCTAAACCGAGCCATAGTGTTAGAAAGTGCAGGAGGCCACGAGTCCCTGTTTGTAGGGCTAGCAAAAACAGATCCAGGAGCAGCTTATGTATGCGATTAATACATTTATAGTGTGAATGTGAGTATTAAGAGACAAATGTGTCTCAATTGTTCAAGTGCAAAAGTAAACAGGGAAAAATAAAGAAGACTTGTGATGCTGAACTTTGGAAGAAAATTAGCAGAGGTTTGCCGGCCAGTTCCCCAAACAGGAACCGCACAGCAGGGCTTAAAAGTGCAACGGAAATATCAGAGGTAAACTTTACAACAAACGATGCATCGCTATCACCTTAATCAGAGTTTCTGGAAGTTTCTGCCCCAAAATGGATTTGAATGTGGATGCACAACATATTATTTTCTACTTGTCTTTGAGCACATTGATTGGAGACATAAATACTAAGGTCCTGTGTTCAAGTCATTCTCGTATAAGACACTGCTCACACACATATTTACACGCACACCCACATCAGTACCTAAAAGCACACAAATAGAGGCAACAACTGTAAAACTAAACAAGGATCAAGTGCTTTCGAAGCTAGAATAAAGGAAAATCATTAACGGCATTGCTACAATATAATGAGGCTGTAGATATTTGGCATTGGTTTCATCACGTTTAACTGGACTGTTTGACAAAGCAACACTAGGTTAGTAACCTTTTATTGGCTACAATTGTCTTTTTGACAATTATTAATTGGAATAGAGTTCGTTTTCTAAATAATGTGACACCTCAGCGTTATGGATTGATAGGATTTTGGCTGGTGTGTTTATGAGGGTTAACACAGGAGGTTTGGCAAAGATTTTTTTTTCCAGGCGATTAACGTGTACGCGTGAGATTAATGTGAAGTTCACGTGAAATTAAAAAACAAAATTAACCATATGCTGATAAAACAAGACAATCAAAGCAGTTTTAAAAGCCTCGGCTGAAGACATGACTGTTACAGCTGTAGAGATGGTAGTGATTTATAAACAGCATCATTAAACAGTGATAGTGAGCCTGGCATTAGTCAATAGGCAAACTCTTACCCAGTTCCCATTACTGAGCTTGAGTCCTGCTGGTTATAGAAACACTAACAGCTACTGGCTGGTTACTGGTGGCTGATTTAGTGGCTAAATGATATGGATTAATTACTCACATCCTCCAGACACACTGTCAACCCTTCAAATCTGATCTGCTCCAGCTCTCGTGCATTTATTTTTATTTTATGCTTCACTTTAAGACATCCACGTGGAACCACAAATCTAATCGATCTAAGCACGTTTCACAGGGTCTTCACTGAGGGCAGGGAAACAGCTCAGCAGTGGCTAAAGATTCAAAAGGTGAGGGGGAGGGTGGGGTCTTTAGTACACCAAAACCAAGCTCACTAAACTGCAACTACCTGTAACGGAGACTTTCTGGAACTAAACTCCACATTCACTGACATGGTCACAAAATGCTGCCATGACCCCCCCCACACACACACACACACACACACACAAGCTACCAACCACGCTCACGTGAACTAGTCATGTACTTCAAATGTGCAACTTTCACTTGCTCATATATATATATATATATATCTGTATTCAAAGAAACTATATTTATTCTAAAAAAGTTTTACTCAAGTTTAAATGTATTTTCATGTTCGCATTAGAAACTTCACGTATAATATATTGATCGAGAGAACACAGTGTATCTCGTTGTCGCTGTCACACTGACAGGATGCTACAGATGAGGTCTATCTGTAAAGAGCAGCACAGTCCTGGGTCACTAAAATACCGTTAAGAATCAACTCTTCCTTCAAGTACCAGAGTAAAAGGTGAGAGGGGCTAAATTAAGACTAGAGCTAAATGCATCTGCATGTGTGTGTGACAGTGTTTTTAGTTTTCATTGGCATGATCATGTGACCGTTTGGTTTCGTACTCCTCACTTCTTCCTCTTTGGTCCCTGTTCTGGTCTTATTGAAAGTCTGCAGTTAGTTTATTTGGATAATTTGAGAATGACTGCACACTGGAACACAGAGTGCTGAATATTTAAAAAACAATTAAATTACTATCTATATTGATCGACCACTGATGTGTAAAGGAATTACTAGTATTTGTATGTGTGTGTGTCAGTGGAAGTGTCCCATGGCTTCAGCAGCCTTCACTCTCACAACAGGATCTGGATCTTGAAGCAGCATCACCAAACCTGTAAACGAACGCAGACAAATATTAAAACCAGCAAACAAACAGAATGAGATCAGAGAGGAAATGAAGGGATTTTTTCACTTTACCTTTAGTGATGGTGCCCATGTTGAGGTGGGAGTGATGCTCCTCTTGAAGATTTCCCAGCATGAACCCTGATGATGGATACATCATCATCATCACATGTCATCTGTAAACTATCATACTGTAACCTAACTGACACAGAGGCTGGTTTTCATTTGACACTTCGTGCTTATTGCTAGAACTTCAGTTTATAATATGGAGTGATCTTTTAAAGTGCAGTGATACCTATAAACATGGCAGCTCCTGCTCTGACCTCAGGCCAGTTACTCTTGAAGAATTGGATGACTGAAATGTGGTAGAAGTTCAGCATGCCAGGAAAGTCCTGAATCTACAACCCACAAAACACACAATAAGCATCACAAACGAGCATCTATATTATGATTTATTGTAACTTTGCGGTGAGAAAAGCAAACATCAGGACAGAAAGCTGACAAAATCTAAAACTAACGGTTTGAATTTATCTCCCCACATTTAAATAAGCTTAACTCAGACGGTCTCTCAGCTCACCAGGTATTTTGTGAGGTCGTTGATGAATTCTCCGTAGTGCAAGCTCTTATCTTCATGTAGGTGGTTCTGAAACATGGCTGTGATCTGTTCTGATCCCACTACAGGAGCACACACTCGCATCGCATACTTACACGCCTAAACAAACAAACAAATCCACTTTTGCATGACAGCATGTAACAGCTCACCCTCTAGTACTAAAGTGTATCTGCAATAAGAGCTGCTGTCACAGTTTGTGTGTGCTTTCCAACTTTACCTTAACCACCTCCGGGTTTGGATCAACCAGGTGTAACAGCAGGCTGACCAGAACATTGTGGATCTGGTCTTTGAACACTTGCTCTCCTGAGCCAAACGTGGACAGGTTACCCATGAGATGGATGGAAGTACAGCGGATGTCATCGTTCTCCTGGTTGAGAGTCAGAAGCTGCACTTAGCATTTTATCTAGACAACTAGAGAAAGTGTATTGCCTGTTTCATCGTCTCATGTAGGTTGGAATTGGGAAATTTCACTTTATGAGGCACAGAGGTGTAGGCAGGTACACAGGTGTGCCTACAAAAAGGGCCCTGTTAGTAGGCACACCTGCTGAAAAGCCACAAACATACAGGTGTGTCTCATAAAGCCTCCTTGCGTCTGAATATTTAAAAAGTCATCTTCTCACAGGACTGAACAAAGCTTGAGGAATCTAACTGACCTCAGATGTGAATGAACTTTTAAGAAATATTGATATAAAATACAACAAAATGCTACTTTATTTAGATTAACATTTGATTAATAACATGATACAGGACATATATATAAAGACCAAACTTACACTTTCCAAGAAAGGTTTAATCTTCATGAAGATGTAGACCGCGAGTAGGTGAACGTTTTTCTTGTCAAGGTGGACAAGAACTTTAGACAAGCCTGACATGGCCTCAAGTGTGATCAGTTTACCTGTTTCAGTTTTATATAGAAAAAAGAGAGAGATCTGATTAATGACTGTACCATGTACGCTTTAAGAAACACTGCAGTGAATTAGATACAAATGGTTATTAGCGTTGCCTTTTTTCACTTTTAATCTGCTGTTGACTTACCTGGATCATCCTTCTCCTCCATTCCTGAACTCATGGCTGCCAGCAGCTCCTTGGCATATTTATTCACCTGATATGAAAGTTACATGTGAGTGAGTGTCGTAACAGTTGGTGTGGCTGAGTGCGAGTGCTGTGAGTGTGCGTACCTTTTCAGGTGAGCCCACGGCTATGTTCCCCAGCCCTCGCACAGACAACATGCGGACCGTGCAGCATGGATCTGATATCCTCTCCATCATGTTGTTCATTAACACATCTACTAACATCAGCTCTGTCACCACATGATGGTTCAACAGCTGGAGTCACAAGATAAGACCGTGACAAAAGACATAAAATAAATAAAAAACATTATTTTATTGCTGTTCTCCTGCTGCTGGCCAATGAAGCTGCTAAAGATACTCATTTAGTCATTTGCAATTTAGATATAACGATAAGAATTGGAGGCATGTAATCACTGGGTTTATCACCTCAGAAAAGAAAGCAGTGACAGTGATTCGCTGGCATTCATAGATATTGTTCAGTAATGGACACAGACACTCCACGATTGCAGGCAATCTGGGACCAGCATGCTTAGCCATCGCCCTAAGGACAAGGCAAACAAACGCTTGTTTACAAAGACACCATAGTACATTTAGAGCACATTTAAATTAACATTTTAACTCCTAATAAGACAGGGTTTGGATAAAATGCAAAACAAGGGCATAGTGTTTCCAGTGTACTGTTTTAAAAGAGATTTACAGCTTTACTGGTGTGCAACATGAAGATATCTGTACCTTGCTAGCAGTGTCACTCCTTTAACATGTGTACTGGCTTCCTTCACTGCATCCCAGGCGTTATCCTCATCCAGTTTTTTCATCACCTCATCTAACTGGGCTCGTGCTAACAAAATTCTCAGCGCTTCAGCTGCTACCCTGGAAGAGAAGAAAGGATTGGATCCAAAAGTTCACCCACAGAAACACCTGACAGAAACAACTTGACAGAGATTTTATTTATTTATTTTATACATAAAAAAAGATGAGTACCCTGCGACGTGGATGGAGGCAGTGTGTTTTGAGTTGCTGTCCTTTGGTGCTGAGACTCCGACGCTCGCTCCCAGTCGCACAGTGAGGCAGGAGAATAGCCGAGGGAACAGACTGACCGCTGGCTCCTGACTCTGACCGTTTAATAACAGCTCCTTGAGACCGCATGTCATCTGAATGACAAAAGTCACACAACATTCACACCCATCAATTATCTATAGTAAATTTACCAAGTTTAAAAACAGCACCAGAAACTAAACACAAGCCAATTTCTTTGTACCCATGTACAAGTCTGTACAACAGACTTTCATGATATGCGTGTGTCCTGTGCACAACAATTGCATCTCAATTTACATGTAGTGAGTAACTTTGTAACTTACAGCCAGTGGCTGATTAGTAGCCACCTTTGTTGTTCCTCCTCTCATCAATGACTCCTTCTTGTCTATGTAGGGTGCCATGATGCTAAGTTTCTCCATCACCATCTCCATGATCTGATTAGCTACAATGGGGTCTGCTCCCAAAGCCATCCACATCTCACTGATCCAGCTGCACGAACAAATACGCTTCATGTTCACACATGTCCCAGAAAACATCTGGTACAGCTAAAATATGAGCAATTCTTTCTTATATTAAGACAAAAAACAGCTGGCATGTGGTCATGCTGAGGAAGAGGATTTAAAGGTTCTTTATACTTACTTGTCATAAGGAAGTGGTTGGTTGACTAGTGTATTGATAACAGTCTGTAGATGCTGAGAAGCCAGGATAAGTACTGTTTGTCCCACTGCCACTCTCACCTGAACATAATACAATAAAACAGTTTTTCTTAGCAAAGCGAGTGAGTTCATTAAGTACCTGCAAGAACACAAAGTAAGAGAGTTGTGAAGTAAACGGCTCATCATTGCAAAATAGGGCTCAAAGGTATTCTTCTAATTTGCTCTTTGTTATTTTAACATGGGGATAATAAGAAATCCTTTAAATTGTAAATGCTGATAACGCTGAATATCTGAATAATGTAAGTGTGTGATATATGAATTGTGCATTCATGTTTGTCTTTACCTGGTCCTCTGTGACGCTCTGCAGACGCACATGCAGCACCTCCAGCATCTCTGGGACCTACATACACACCAAACAACACAGAAACAAACAATCGCTGTGTTTGGTGATCCAGCAGGACAGCAGCAGGTAAAGCACTTCACTGTTACAGTTGCAAAACCATGTCTGTGAAGCTGGTTACATTTAGCAGGACTTTTGATTTGATGTCATCTGTACGACCATCAAGATCATTTTAGACAAACAGAATCTAACTAAACCAGTAACAGCTATACTTTCCATGTCCTGCTTAATTCTCAGAAATATTTCATCAACATTTCTGGGATGTCTTGACCTAACAGGCCTCTACAGGTCACACCAGATCATGTGAATCAGGTCAGAGCTAAGAGGCTCAAAAAGGTGGAATTTCCTCCTTTCTTTGTCTTTTTTTTTGTAAACCACTTTGCTGTTTAATTCTGTTCTGAATTTATTGCTCACTCATTGATTCAAAGATTTCTTGGTTCTTGGGTTGCAAAGCAGCCAATCTTTTTTTGGGCGCGTTTCCCTTTTTCTTTTTTTTTTATTTCTTTTTTTTTATTTTATGTAGTTTGAAACATCTGAGTGGTCTTTTTTAAAAAAAAAAACAAACAAAAAAACTTTCCCCTTCATTAGGAATTTTCCCCATCGGTGTTTTTTATGAATACGTGAACAAAGACTTTAACAAGGTTTAAAGATTTGCAGTGCTGTTTTGCTGTTTTTTGCGGCCCTTTGGTCTTCTTCAACTCCCAAGACTGAGTGTTATTCCTTTTGATGTTTGAAGGACGCCTACTCCCAGGAGAGTAGCAGTAGTCTTAAATTTTATTCACTTGTAGACAATTAGTTCTTTTCGCGGGCTGAATAACATCCAGATCTTTAGAAGTGCTTGTTGCTTTGTTGTTGCTTTTCCCTGCTTGGCGGATCGCTCAAATGCCTCTTCTTAAGGTTCTGTGAAAGCTATCCCCCAAATTTGTGAGTAGGCAAATGTTGTATACATTTATTTATAAGGAAATGTCAGAGATTCCAGAGATTTCTCTTTTGCAACTTTATATCATATGCAATGACTGTACAGGCATAAGAAAATGCAACTAAAGGCAGTCCGTGTGTTACCATATCTTGTAGTCCGCCTCCTCTGTTCTTGAGCAGAGTATTCAGAATGACAGTTGAAGCTCGGCAGCAGTTTGTCTGGCTGTCGACGAGCCCTTCAAACAGCATGAACACCAATGTCGTCAGCTGCTGCTGAGGCAGACGCTTACTCATCACCTGATTTCATGCAGGGAAAGATGCAGTTACACACACACTGTGCATCTACATTATGGTGGACAGAGTGTGACAGACTATACGCATTACAACAGATAACTGCACAAACATATTGTTGAGTGTCATACTAAAAGATAAAAATCCACACTGGCAAGAAAACAAGTATTGAGCACGAGCAATAAAGCAGTTTGCAGCTCTCCTGCGCGTACCTTGGTAAGGTCTGAGCAGGTCTTGTACAGAACTGAGTGGTCAGGGTTCTCCAGCCGATCCTTTAACAACAGCAGAGAGTCCACAGATTCATCCTTATAATCCAAAGAGAATCCTAGGAACAGGGATAGAAATATTTAAATAAGTTTTACAATGACAATAATTATTCACAGTTCAACTCCAGATTATCCAACCCCTGCTCCTTTTATAAACTAATTACAAAACAACAGACAGGGTCTCATCATTGCCTCCTTACCTTTCCCCACTTTATGACATGGTACTTCCTTAAAACAATGTATAAAATGTCAAAGCGTTACATGACTGTACCTTCATATCGAAGTTGTATATAAAGGAGTGTGTGTATGCACTCGACGGCAGCAGCGCGCACGGCAGGGACAGGGTCCGAACAGCGTGGAGACAGGCGGCCCAGCAGAGCTCCAAGGTTGTGGAAAGACACCATGTTCTACACAAAGTTTTGAGTTGTTAAATGGTAATTACACGATTATCCATTGAATTATAAAAACATTTTGTCACCAATATATCTGCCCTATGTTTGTGTGTGTACCTTGACAGTCAGGTTATCCAGGTAGTAAGCCAGTATGTGAGCTGTGGCTGTGATAGCTCGCTCCCTCTCGTGGTCCTGTCCAGAACTCAACCATGATTCAATGTGCTGCACAAGGAAGTCACATCAGAAAACGCAGGTTACATACACTATGGTAAATGGCCTGTATTTGTATAGTGCTTTACTTTGTCCTTTACAAGAACTTTACACGTACACTACGATATGATACTGGCATGTTAAAGTCAATCATTACTGTATGGCAGTCTACAATACTTAAAGATTTTTATAAAGTTATTTGTGGAACTGGAGTCGTGAGCAGGACTGACAGAAACTAAAATTAAAAGCAGAGAAAGAGCAATTTGTATCATGCGCTTAAAACCAGACATAAATACTTCTCATAGCTGGATTTTTACTAGTGCTAGAATCACCAGATACCTAATGATACAATATTGTCGCTATACTTCACTCACAATATAATATTATTGTACTTTTAACATATGCTGAATATATTCAAAAGCATATTTTGGAATTTATTTTTCGGTTTATAAAGGTGATTTGTCTTCAAAGTTAAACTATTTCAGTATTTGTTTTACTCTATAAGATAAAGTTATTGCCTTTATTTTTTGTGCTTTAAATGAGATTGTTAAGCAGATCCTGCTTTAGACCCTTCACTAAAACCTGCTGTCAATGCTGGAGTGTGAGGAGGCTGCTGTGACTGAGCCATCCGCGTGCTTTGAAGTAGGAGCTAGCTTTAGTCGAGCTAAGTGTGTCCAGTGTTGGACAGTTTCTCACTTGCATTAAACTGAGTCAACATTATGTCAGGATGATGGTAAGAGAGTATTTCAATTATTTTTCTAATATAAGTATTATTTATTTAATAGAATATTGATATTTTGTTTCCATGTATCGATCTATTATCACCATGTAAAACACTGTGATACAATTCTGTATTGATTTTATTCACCACTCTTCTACTGCTCGACCAAAACTAGTAGTAAAGATTTTCATCAGCCCCTTAATCTTATGACAAAATGACCTCATTTTTTAAAAAATTAAATAAATAACATATTGAATAGCCAAGTGAAAACAAGAGCATTTGCTGAAGCGGCAGGCTTCACCTTAAAGACATTCTGTAAACCGTCGGGTGTTGGATCTTTAGCCAATACGCTCTTCAGCAGCTCCTGCAGAGCAGCCAGCGTGTCTTTGTACAGCGCCTGTAGAGATCCACCAGAATATATTGGACTGACAGCATGACAGCATTTAAAATACTTGGCTACAATGACAGACAAAGTTTGCTATAAAGATCAGAGGTGGTACAAACAAACTACAGCAGATCTCAGTCTACCTCACTTCACCTTTCTCTGCTTGGGGTCGAGCGGCTCCTCTTCTTTAGTTTTCTCTGGAGTGTTCGTCTCAGCTGGCAGACAGAACACACTGTTGATACACACCTTTAGCAAGTCAAAGTTCTCATTCTCGCTCATCGGAGGGTCCAGTGGACTGAGGCATTAAGGTCAAAGATAAAACACTGGGAGATGACAGAGCTTCAGTCACTGATGATTCATTTCACGTCAGCAAAGTGCTGCCTCGTATTTGTCTTCTGTTGACTTTGAGTTCTGTGGTTATCATTTAAGTCTGCAAAAGGAAGTCACCCCAAATCAAAGTTTTACAGTTCATTCAGTGCAAACAGTAAGATTAACTACTACAAACACTCATTTATTAGTAAGAGCTCTGTACATATATTCAGTAGCTGTTAGTCTCTATTATTAAGGGACTTAATTTGTGTCATATTACTTTGCAAAGTTCAGTTTCTTCACTGAAGTGAAGGATACATAAGGTTGGCACACGTGCTCATCACAAGCTGGCGTACTGGAGTCCTCAGTGCATCAGCTTGCTCTGCCTTAATGAAGTCCTGACCAGTGAAAAAAATAAAGACAAGAACATGTCTGCTGTTCTTACTGTCTGCAATTACTGTGTAACAAGAAGCTGGCCCTTAATTTCCACTGACCAGCATAACAGTAATGAGCTCCTGCTTGCGAGAGAAGATGTAGCCCTGTTTCTTCACACACTCACTGATGGCTCTGGCTATGAGGCCAACACTCTGGATCAAACTGAGCTTCATAGTCAGGTCCTGTATTGGGAAAATGCAGAGATGACGGTGCACAAAATAAAGACAAAAGACATAAAAAAAACAACAAAAAAAAAAAACAAAGAGAGAAAATGATTCGGGTCAAGAGGCAGTCTCCGTTATCAAGAATGAACAAGATGCTCTGCAAACCTGTTTTAGCAGACAACTCTACACAAAGCTTAGTAAAAATAAACAATAAAATACATATAATAATAAATCAGCTAATTAATTAAATCAATCCAACATGTATATTGCAGATTGATCCTCCATGCCTATGGATGGAAAGAAATGTGAGGTGATCAGTAGAACAACACAACATCTGCAAGCTCTGATCAGTAAGACATAAAAGGCGTTCACACAGCGTGCGAGTCACCAGTGAGTAATGTAACAGCAATCAACCTTTAAGCAAATAAGGCAAAAAGAAAGAAAGAGTAGAGCTTATCGTGAAGAACAGAGAGAGACGGACCTGAAGGCGTTATTTATGAATGTCACCCTGACTAGAACAATGCCGTAAACACAGCTGTTTCTTTGCCCCAAATGATTATAATCACAAGACAAAATGTTAACAGCACGCACATAATACAATATTGTCGTAAACCTGAATATTACTTAGTAAGGACTAATGTAAGAAAGGTGGTCTGCTAGTTTCTTATCATCTGCTCTTTGTAGCTGAGAGCCGACAACAAAAGATAAAAACATCTTTCAAGCTTTCCCGAAGTGAGTGTGTGAGATATTTTCAGTGATGCATCACTTTGAAGCTACATTTCCCAGAAGTACACCACGGTCCCTTATTGCAATAGGAAGTGATGCTCAATATGGTTTCCGATGGTTCAACAACCAAATTTAGCTGGGATATATTTTAGTCTCATTGCTATTACGTGATTGTAAAAAAGTTTTAAATTGCATTTTAAAAACCAACATAAACTCCACCACCACACTGGAAACATGTTAGTGATCGATCATACATGAATGCCTTCAGAGGACAGTAAAGTCTGGTGCTCTTGCACCGTGAAACTTCACATGTATGCAGTGAAGCTGGGTTGAAGCATAATGAAAAGGCTGTTTTACTGCACAGCGCTCTCAAATTGAAGACTTTCATGTATGATTTTAGTGACAATATCACCAAAAGTATGCAGATTTTATGCAGAAATATATTAAGAAAGGAGGGTGAGATCAAACTGAAGAAAGAGGAAATGTTAACTAGCAAGGATTAAAGACAAAGCTCCTGGATTCCTGTGACGATACCTTTGTCTCTACTTTAATCCCCAGAACCTGCATAAAGAAAAGGTGATAAGGAATGAGCTCACATACAAACACAGCCCTGATTCCTGCAGGATTCAGTCAAATAAAATGTTCATCAATAAGCTGTTAAAATTAAGAGTTTCCTTGTTCACTGCCTGTAGCATCAGACCTGGATCTTAGCTCAGTTTGCTGTTTTTTCTTTCTTCTCATGAACTGTCTGATCACCTAAGTCAGCAGTCCCCAACCTTTTTAGCACCACAGACCCGTTTAATGTCAGACAATATTTTCACAGACTGGCCTTTAAGGTGTTGCGGATAAATACAACAAAATAAAATGATACGACCAATATAATAATAAAGGCAAATTCACTGTGTAATTGTGTAACTTTATTAGCAGCGTCCTCCTGAAATGCGCCGACAGCATTGAGAGTAACATCCTCCTCTCTGCCCCTTAATGCTCTCTGGTCGCTATGGTAATGCGTAAATATTTCTTTCAAATATGTACACCTGAGCCTCAACTCTCGCGGCCTGGACCAGACGACTCACAGACCGGTCCCTGGCCCGGGGGTTGGGGACCGCTGACCTAAGTGATGCAGGAGTCTGTGACACCCAGCAACACCATCTCAAACAATGGCAAACTACTAAATCACAGGACTGTTTCTCTGCGTTTCCATACCTTGGTGTTGAAATGTTTACTGATGCAGCGGAGGATGTCCTGATCAATGCGGTTCAGAATCTTTTCTGGAGGGGCGTTCGCAGCCACCTGACCGTAGCACAGGATTAATGTGCTTTTCACCTTCTCCACCTCGACATCATTACGCTCCTGAGGTTAGACAAGAAAGGAATAACCAGCTGTTTTGTTTTTTTTTTTAAAAACTGTACAATCAGTATTCATTTTGTTAACCAATAATTTTTGTCACACTTTTTCCTAATAAAAACAAGCTGACAAGCAAATAAAAAATAATGCTCGTGGACAAAAACGAGGACGGGATGTGTTGCCATTTTTTGTCAACGAAAAAAAAATATTGAAAATATTCTGCAGAGACAAGATCCAATAAGAACTATCTAAGAGACAGGTGTATAGACGGGTGGGAATATGGAAGTGATCCAGTCAGAAGTAATCTCTGATCTTAAATTAACATATGAGAGGAAGAGAAGAGTAGACATATGGACACATTTGATATTTCATGTCAAGGAAAATAAACAGTGTTGAGAAACTGTCACCAACAAAACTTGACACTCTTTCACACTTTATAATGTAGCCAACGTCAGATTTGGTCTCATATCTTTTGATATTTAGCTAAAACTACAAGAATTTAGATTTTTTTTTAGAATGAGATTTTGGTCAAAAGATTGTGAACAAATCAAAATTTGACGTCTAAATGAACACTGCTCTACATGAAATAAACATAAGGAAACTTGTTATTTGCACATTTTCCATCGTACTTTCAGCAGGTTAAAGATGCTCGGTGACTTCTTGAAGGCATCCGATTTTCCAAACTCATCCAGCTTGGCCAGAGTTCCCTCCAAGTGGCTATTTGCACACAGACCGACGCCCATCGCCACTCCCTGAGAGATGCAGATGATGGGAATTTAGAGTCAGACTATAAACCTGTGCAACAACATCGAAAGTGACATGAGTTTTGTACGAAGGAATATTGTCAGGTGACAGTTCCAGGTACCTCTCTTTCGACTGCATCACTGTGCCGAGCTGCGAGGAGAACTTCATGCAGCTGTTTTTTGACCAGGTCTTTATTGAAACAGTGTTGGAGAGTCACTCCTATACATCGATACAGGAAGCTCTAAAAAAAAGGGGAAAAAAAGGCTCATTATATAAATATCTAAGCAGCATTTTCATATCTTTCTCTCCTATAAGAGGAACATCTGTGATATCAATTATACTATACAAAATTTACTAGTTAAGTTTTGTTTATTTTCAAGCTACACCCTTGGTCAGGTGTAACTTTTCAACTTTCTGTATGCAATCAAAAAATATATATAAATAAATAAATATAAATTTTATGTGTTCTGCTAAGCATTCATTATGTCTGCAGCAGATGACCAAATCAAATTATACCTTGCAATTGGATTTAAGAATGAAGAAATACTTGTGATTTTAAATATGATTCATAATATTAGCATGAAAAAAATGGACCCATTTAGAAGAAAATGGTGATTTGGGTGAGATGATGAACTTTTGGCATCAGCTCTCATTGCACAGTCTTGCCAAAATATGCACAAGGAGTACCATGGGCATCATTTTAGTGCTAATGTGTGCTGTGTGAACTGTGGTCTCATATTTGTGATGGAAATCTTAGAATATTGCAGTTTTCTTCTCTTGGAAATTGACAATTTCCCTGTCAGAAATTCTGACGTTTTTCTTAGATTTATTACCACCCTCTACCTGCTCCATATTTTTCACTTCTAAATTAAGTTTGCTTTGAAGTCTTAGCAGCTCTGAACTGATTTAATAAACCTTTACTGTTAAAAAGGAACCTACCTTCTCCTCTAAGGCGTTGTTATATGTAGGGAGGTATCTGGTTGATTCAGCTGCCAACTGACATACCCACTTATCATCATCAAGTGCTGTCAGGGTTTTAGACAAGAGCTGTGGACAGTTTTAGCACCGTTAGGATGACTTTGATCAAATTAATTGACTTAAATGTTTTTTGACGAAGCAGGGATCATAACAGTCTAACTATATAAATAATCTAATAATGATGACAACCATCATTCACTCTCTTCCCAAATAAGTGGGACGATATTTTTGTTTTAGTCAGCTGAAAATCACTAATGCATTTGAAGAGGGAATATTAAAAATAAACCCACACACCTCCAGTAACCTCTTGTCCCACTCCTTCTTATCCAGACTCTCTGCAGCGGACTCTGTTAAAACCAAAAACCAGTCAGAAAGCTCTGGCAGCAGCATAGTGAAAAATACTGTGCATGAGGATGACACTCAAGGTGACGATCATCTTTACAAGAAAAAAACAAAACAAAACCAAGCATGAGAACCCCTGAAGGGCAAAAGTGCCAGTTTGTGTAACTACAGCAAAGCACATATATAGTATATTGCAAATAAATGCATAAAATGATTACTGTATGTGCACATATTTTCATACCCTCTAGTACTGTAAGCAGTGGAGCTATTTCGTTGTCCCAGACTGCTTCAGCATTGGGGTGAATGTTAATACTGAGGATTTGGAGGAGAGAGAGGGACGGAGCGCCATGATCTCTGTTATTGAATGGAAAAGCTGCATTCACCTACAAAAACAGATACGTATCATTTATATCACAGATCACATAAAAGACAAACAATTGCAGTAAATCTGTATAACTTGGTTATTGCTCCATGGTAGGAGGAGCTAGAGAAAAAAATGCAACTACAAAGAATTTGGGATTAAAAGCCATAGAGAGTGAAACAAACGCATGCACACAAAAAACACACATACAGACTTAACTTTCACTCACAGTATGCAGATCACACACACACACACACACACACACACACACACACACACACAGAGACACACACACACACACACACACACACACGGGGATTAAATTAGCATAATAAATCCATGCAGTCCTTTTTTCTTTTTGTTTAATTTTCTTTTTTTAAATTTTATTACAAAAATGTTGCTCCAGCCAATTATTAGATGGGATGCTTGGCAAGCCTTTATTTGAATACTGAAGATGCAAAAAGGGAATTAGGTTTAGCCGATGCTTCTATATTTGCTTACCAGCAGTCTGATCATCAGTGCTTGTGGAGATGGTAGATTGACTAAAGGACAGAGATGAGACATGTTTAGGTTAAACTGATCATTCAGAACAAGAACAAGAGACATAAGAACAAATTTCAATGCTTATAAAGTTATTTATAATATTATTTTTTCCACTTCCACACACAACATTTCAACATAGACCCCTTACAGCACACTGCTTTCCACACGTTACATAAAGAAGTGTCTATAGCCATGTACCTTCCCGTGTAAAGTCGATTTTGAAGCTGGGCTCTTGGTTATTTTTCTTCTTGTTGCCCAGCACTATGAGACTTTTACAAAGAGGAGTAGTGGCATTGCTGTACTGTGAAGGGGTCAGATAATACAGCAACTTTGGCCACAGTACCTTCAAACAAGAAAACACACATGTTAAATATCACAGCAAAGTTCTTAAACGTAACACTTTTAACTGACTAGTAGTACAAATCAAATTTAACTGACCTACACTACTAGTCAGGGAAGTTTCACACATGCACAGCATAAAATAAAGACATAAGAAACACCTGCTGCTAACACCGTTTCCTGAACAACACATGTTAATATATTTACACAATATTTTGTAGAAAGGGTACATACATCGGCTAGTCGTCCAACAGTGGTAGTGAGGAGATGAAGGGTGTTGTCACACATTGACCTGAGTGACTCGTTAGTTACCTCCTCTGGATCTGTGGGCCTCTGACTCCGCTGAAGACACACAGAAAAGGGCACAGGTAGTAATACATATTTTACTTAAAAACATCTTCGCTGGGCCTTCTGTACAGTTCTTCCTTAATCTGGGGTGCTAAAGTCCTCAGGTTATCTGTGAGAGGACTGATGTTTCACATCTGCAGAATCTGTCATTTTCAGCTCCATATAGTTCATTAATCTTATAGACTTTAAGATAAAGTATTAAAGCTCATTTGTGAATTATGAATTGTGAATGATTATGAATGTCTGGGAATTAATGGGCTTGTTTGCATGTCATCATTCATGTTTGCACCTTAGATTTTAATCACATAGAAAATAGAAAATGATATTTGTTTTTACTGTTACCATTTTGTACATGGTGTACATATATACAACAAAAAGCCACCATACTAACACACACATACAGCACTGAAAATGCAGCTAACAGAGAACTTCCATACAAATCAGGAAAAAAAAGGGGGAAATGAACACAAAAGGAGTTGTACCTGATACGTGTCAGGTAAAGCACAATGTTGAACTATGAATCGAACCAGTAACTCTCCTCCCTCTAACTCCAAGTAGCCGTGATGAGCCATGGCACTGATCACTTGGACCACACGCTTCTTCACCTGGGAAATAATGACATCATTGTCTAAACAACTAAAAGCTTAAGGAAAAGAGTAAAACACAAGAAGAATATGTTCATCCATCTAACAGCATGATAGTCAAAAAAAATAAAATAAAAAGGTGTGTGTGTGTGTGTGTGTGTGTGTGTGTACACACACACGTGTGTTACCTTGTTGCTGTGGTCAGCCATCGGCTGTCTGATGCTGGCCAGAATCAGCAGCTTCTTGCTCTCCATAGTAGAAGCTGTAATGCACAGGTACTAATAAAGGCAAAGTCTTAAATAATCAAATGAATCAACACTTATATGCACACATAGATACATAAATACTATCACGTGATTTAGGTAAAATGAACAATTTGCTTCTTACTTGTCTTGAAATGTCTGTGTGCCGTAAAACAGGCAAGTGTGTGATCAGGGAATAGTGTGTGTCATGCTTGGAGCTGTTATTGTATTTCCTTACTGGAGGAGTTGATGAGGTGACGGAGGACAGCCAAGGAGCCCATCCTGCTTCTCTCATTACTGTTCTCCAACCTCTGAAGAACAAACATAACCAGGCGATCTGGGAAAGAGTTCGCTAAAGGGAGAGAATTAGAAGTTAAAAAACAACAACAAAAAAATTAAAATGTGAAATGCATAAATTGACACAGATGTAATAATCAGGCCAAAAAAAGGCAAGCAAAGCAAGACAGAGGATAAGAGCAGTCCACAAACTGCCACAGTTAATGCAATTATCCTGTGGTGGAAACTGGGTCTAACACGCTAATGCACATCTCATTACTGCTCTTGTGACTCTCCAGAGCTAAACCAGATAGAAAAGCTTGACCGGACAACATTCAGCTGTCACTGTGCACTCAACATCAACATAAGAAGAAAAATTAAAGTAAAATTAGTACCAATCAAACTGAAGCAGCGCAGGACCTCATTGTGGTTCTTGACAGTAGGAGGGTTACTGTAGTCAACAGGGGCAGACACCTGGTAGAAACAAGGGAAGAGCATCATGGTGTCTATTCTGGTGACTTTTAGTTACATCAGGAAAATAATGGTCACGGTAGATTAGATTATTTTAGATGTCATTAAAAATGGCTCACTATAACACAATTGTGCTACATGTCGCATTATTCTAAATAATATTTTTACCATTCCCTTTATCCCTTGTATTAAAACAGCTGTGATAATAACAGCGTATGTGTTATTCAGCATGGATAAAACACAGTTTTCTAATTTGGTTTCTGTGGCTTCGGGTGTCATGGGTGCAGATGTGTGTTTGGATCAGTGACAGCCAGGAAATGTATATCTACCTAATACGAATCACTGCATTTGTATATTAAAAATGGGACTGATATAATTTTACATAACAAGGACTCTGCTCATAATCTACAAGTCAGTGTGCAAATCAAGCAGCTAAAGGCAATAAAACATTTGTATAAACGCTCTCCTGCAGCTGTATCATATATAGGGATGATGGTGTTCTCCTGCTGCTGAAGAATGGGAGAATATTAACAAGAGTTCATTTTTGCATGGACCAGTGTATTTTTAAAAACCATAATAAAAAAATTAACAGTCTGAGCTAATGACACATGGTCTGTTTTTACAGCACAAAGTCACATGTGTTTATTGTTTTTGAAAAGCTTCATGTGCCACCACTTTCCCACTTCGGGTACACTTCTCAGCTGAAAATAAGAACTGAAAATGTTGTAGGAACACATTCTTAACAGCAACGTGCGCTTTTAAGCACCGTTAAATATTGCATATATAAAATGGAGGGGAAAAAAATTACAAAAGGAACTGTAACAGACACTGCTGCTGTAACATTATGCCATCACATCACATTACGTAGTTGAGGTGAAATTTTGCAACACGCAGGCATCAGGCCAAGTGTCAGCTGAGTCACAAGGATGTGAAAATGTGTGACCTCAGTAACAGTTACGGTCATTTGATTCATCAACTAAGAAAAGCAGCACAGGTGAGCAATTCGCAAGAATTAACCCAGTCCATTCATTCACAGATTTGTGCTTTCAATACCATAAGTAGTTCAGCACCAAACAGAAATACTGAGAAACAATTCTTCTAACCATTTGTTTCTCATCAATACACTACACAATCAATAATACCAATTTATTACCATGCAAAGAAGCAAAGAAATGCACTTAAAGTGTACCTGTTGGTGCAGTGCAAAGAGCAGAGCTTCCAGTTGTGCCTCCAGCACCCTGCTGCCCATGTTGACAGATGCATCTAGGACTTGGCACAGACTCTGTTTAGAAAACCAAAACAGGTACACTCACGCAAAGGCTCAGACTCAGTTTAAGATGCACTTCTACTTAAAGCCAGGACAGAGTTTAGAGATGCTCAGAGAGTGATGGTCCTCCATTTCCTTACATAAATTATACTTTCTACAAAAACCCATAATAAACAATCCCTACACTGATGCATCACACTGTGCCCACCTTGCTAATGATATAGTGCTCGTTGTTTTTCTTGTACAGGGACAGGATGGCAGGAACAAGTCTGGGAATCTGTTCCTCCAGTTTATCGCTGGCCATCAGATGACACATTGATCCCACCGCCTCAGCCACTGTCAGCCTCAACTGGAAGCCAAACAGATACAAAGAAAAGTCAGAATATGAGGTGATAGAGATGACAGAGATTAGGTGAGTACTTGGAAATATTATGTGTAATAAGAATGACCTTCACATCAATAACCTGTGATTGAATAAATATTCGTTCCCAGAAAAAGCCTCTTTCTGAGATAATTTAACTAAATACTCTTCTAATAAACAGTTGTATCTTCCCAATTGTGCAACAAATGGTTTAATTGTTTGGCTCAGTAACACAGATTAATATAGAGTCAGTACAAAAAGTAAAGATGTCACCCTCTTCTAGTTGAGTTTTGTGACTCTTTTGTTGACTAAAACAGATTGCACCTTCCAGAAAACTCAAAAAACATTTTTTTTGGAATTTCCCAATAAAACAGTGACTCTCCAGGATAGGAGAGTAAATTACACCAAGTGTTCTCTCTGTGAGAAAATTAATTTAGCTTTTATCATTTATTTTTTTATTTGTCATTGCAGCTTTGGATGGCTTACTTCTGCTTCCTTAATGATTCAGCTTCCTTCAACAATGCCTCAACCCATGACTTCTTGCAAAATGTAGGTGGTTTTGCAGTTGTATAGTCCACTGCATTTCATATCATCTTGCACGATCAACCTACCTTGGGCTCTCTGCTTTGTAACCAGTTATTGAAGAGGATTTCAAAAGCAGCATAGATGTCACTGGAGAACGTGTCTTTTCTAACTGAAGGATCTGGAGCCTTGTCTAAGTTGGCCAGGTACTCCAAGATACTGTCGCTGAAATGAGACAGAGCTGCAGGGAGAGAAAAAACAACAAAACAGGAAACAGAAAAGCCGTGTGACTGTAAAGAGCAGGCAAAGCAAACACGTGAACATCGTGAAGCTGCACTTTTTGTTTGGTTTGTTCAGTCAAAATCTAAGAAACCACTGGAAAACAGGTCAGGTGGTTCTTACCAGAAGAGAAGACCCACTTTATGTTGTCCTGTTTTGCCATGCTCAGCATGGGTAACATGGTTCCCAGAATAGCATTCAGAAACGGCACCATGCCATAAACTAGAGAACAGAACAGATTACACATTTATGGCACGCTTACATTTCCCTCTTCCTCTATAACAGCAGTGAGACATACATTGGCATTATTTTTGCACTATGAGACTAATTTTTATACAATAATTCAAATGGATTTGTCTATCAGTTATTTGGCTGTTACCACAATAAGTGACACTCAGACATGAGTAGTTCAGACAACTCTGATTATTTTTCTTTTAAGTTATTCCAGATTTCATTTTATGGAGTTTGGGGAGAAAAAACAACAACAACAACTTCATTCATGCCGTAAAACACATGCTCAAATTCAAATGTAGGATTAGTAACGTCAGCCGCACTTTAAAGGCCCTTTAAAGACTGACAAACTCTGTTTAACTACCTGACATGCTACTCTGAGCACAGACACTGAAGTTCAGGGCTCTAAATAAGTTTTACTAATCCATTAGAAAAGTACACATCAGCTCAGAAGTTTTGAAAAATATCTTACTGCTGCCAGTATGACTCCATACTTAGTGGAAAAAATGAGCCCTAATCATTCGTAATCACAGAGTGCTCCTAAAAAACAGAGAGAAAGAAAAAAATCCTGGTGTTGTGCAAAATCTTTGACCTGCAAGTGCTCTTACTGGACAGGTTTAACAGGTTCAGCTTTTCTCAGCAACCGCTCAATTCCTTTCTTCTCAGCCAAAATCCTAACCTGGCCTGCATGTGGGCTTCCTTAAAGACAGACTGCACATTTTTCCTTTCATGTACGCCAGTAAAAATGTCCTTACCATTTGAATCAGAGAGGTTGGCCAGTGTTTGAACTACAAAGAAGTGAGGCAGGACCCCTGGCTGGAACTTGCTTAGTATCTCCTCCATGATGTCATTGATGTGCTTATTACCCACCGCGACCAAGATATTACTGGCTGCCTGCTGCCAGTCTGGGATGACCTCCTGAATCAACCATGATGGCAGAACAACAATGAAGAGGATGTAAGAAAGGGGCCACACGAAACTGTATGACTAAGGCTTTTAAGATATCTTAATCAAAACTCAATCATGTAATGTCCACACTCTTAAAAAACACAAAAATCAATGATTGAAAGTTTCTACCTTTGTCAAAGGAGCTTAGAAAGAAAAACATCTGGACTTCTTTAAGTTTCTTGAAGACGTTACAGCTCTCAGCTTCTTTAGCTCTAAAGAAGAAGAACTGAAGAAGCTTCTCGGATGAGAGGTGAAAGGTCCACTTAAAGAAGTCCAGATGCTTTTCTTTCCAAGCTCCTTAGACTACGATGACCTGGGCGACTGAGAACCTTCACAAACATAAATAATTTACCTTTGATCGAGTCATTTCATCTGAGGCCAGGGAGATAATACTCTTTATCCTGGAAGGACTGATCTCCTCTATCCTGCAGCTAACAATCAGCTCAATAGTCCGAAGAATCACAACTCTGTGGCTCACCACCAGCTACAGAAGAAAGATGAGATGAAGAAGAGGAAGATATGAAGAGGCGATATATAAGCATGGAAAAAAAAAAAAAAAAAAAAAAGGACCACAGGCTGGTCTGCGATGGAATAACATCAGTCACTATGCCAATAAGCTCTCCGACCACACAGAAATCAGCCTTCATTTTGATGTCAGTACAAGCGTAAAATCTGATGACTGCATCTCCCAAAGCTGTGTTACCTTGTTGTCAAAATCTGTCCATAGAAAGGCAGAGCTTCCAAAATAGCCTTTGTGGTAGTTTCTGTTATAGTATATGTCTCCCTAAGCACATTTTAGCATGATGATACCGACGGATTAATAAGATGAAAACAGTATCAGCTTCACTGACAAGGTCATTAACATAAAGGAGAACAGGAACACAATGGAGTAAAACAGGAAATTAAAATGCTACAGGAGCAGTTAATCTGAAACATAACAGCATGACTCTGTTTTCTGCTGAATGTCAGGGACTGCCTTTAGATGAGCAAAGAATATATCACCAAGAACATTTTACACCATCTAAATTTAAAAAAGCCAACTAATGAACTGAATGAAGTCAGTGGCTACAACGGTATCAAAAGTCTCTGCATCTGTGTGCGGGAAAAAAATGCAGAAAAACAGGCTCAAAATAGATTTAACAGTCCATATTGCTTTTAAACATTAAACGACTTTGCAGTTGTTTTCTTAGTTACGTAATTATGGCTGACTTTCGTCTTCCTAAGGACTCTCACTATTCTGGGTTGTTACCTTAGGGTGTTTCAGGAGGTAGTCCTGACACATGGCCAACACTCGGTCTGGCTGCTGTTTTCCCAGAGTCAAAATAGACTTCCTGACTTGTTCCTGGACTTCTGAGTCTTTATCGGTGGCTGCATCAAGAAGAGCCAGGGTCACCTCTGAAAGGAAAACACAACCTCAGAAGCATATCGGAGCAGAAAAAAAGTAAACATAAGTGGATGGACAACATTTCAGAAAGCTGAATTGATCAATGTCAAATACATGTGGCTTAGCCTTCAGTAGGGAAGGGAAGAGACTCACGTTCAACATCCGTCTCATCCATGTTGGACAGCAAGGAGCTCTGGCTTCCTGGAGCCAGAGGCCAAAGAGGGGTTGTTTCTCCTGGGATACAGATGGGCTAGAGCTACCGAAGACAGTATACAGTATTTACAGTTAATACTGTTCTTAATATTGCCATTTTTTCATTGGAAATAAACTGCTGTTTTGACTTGGGAGCAACCAAAATCATTTAAAATGTTCATACTACCATGCCAGTATGGATGTTCCTTTATCAAATATGTGCAGTAATGTATGCAAAAACATGACAACCAGGGGTTAAAGTGGGTTGGAACAATCTGAAATAGCATCCCACCGCCTTCAGTTAATGATTAATTACATCTGATAGAGAGGTTAGTGCATCTTACTATTGAGTGAGTTGTGCTTGCTTCCAGTGATGGCATGGAGACACTTGCTCAATAATAAGAAACCAATGACATCCCATGGTTCATTTACACCTTAAACACATCCCTTTTTCCTTTTCATCCCTGTGATGCAATTAATGGTGCTGATTTAAATAAGGTTTCACGGTAGTCTGCATCTAGTTAGTGCCACAGAAGAGGTAAGAAATGATTTTTAATGGGGAAGTATTGTAAAAAGTAACTTTAAAACAGCTCAACAAATATCAACAAATGCACAAACTATATCCGTGCAGTGTGTTGCAAAATACATCCGTGAGCTAAATGCTCAGTTGCTTTTTTTTTCCCAGGGAGAGGAAAAAAAATGTTAACATGCATCACTGACATATGGAGAAAGACGCCAGAAAGATGAGTTATTTATTTTTAAAGAATGGGATTTTCACATGCTGAGCAGTCTCTGAGTTTTAAATCAGATACTGGATTATGCATGATGTGTTGCTGAATTATGTTTTTGCCTAATATTTTGCAAATGCTTACATGAAAATATGGCAGTAGGCAGTTTACTGCATGCTACACTGGTTAGTTTGCAGTATTGTTAACAAGTTTACAGAGAATTAGTTGAACTGAATATATCTTGGGTACTGCTAATGGGTTACATGAGTTTATATTTAAGGTGATTAAGTTGATGCTGATTAGACTCATTCACCGAAGTCTACCTTTTACTGTCTTAACATCTGCTTATATCTTGTTGAATTCAGGTGGTTAAATCCATAAAGAGCAGGGAATATCGGAGTAGCATGGCAGTTCAGCTGATCACAATCTGCAGACAAAGAAACATCTACTGGACATCACAGAACACATTTTTATGTAACTTACTTCTAACTCACAGTAATTATTTGGCCCTGCTGCAGCCAATCTTTGTGCCTTCACCTGCCAAATCTCAGTTTAACCTCTGATTACAACAACTCATGTAGACACAGGGAACCTGCGGGAAGCTACCTGAGAGCAGACAGTTGATTGTGACCTCTGTGAGTTCACACTGAGACACGCTAACACCTATTAATGAGTTTAAGGCTGTATTCAACCAAAAACTGCCACTATCCGGTCAATAGGACTTAACTTTTTATCAGTCCGCCACACCCGCTGTGCTAAAGGGTTAACATAACCAACAACTGAATCGTTGCTAGCTCGTTTAGTCATTTATTGTAATTTTACGTTGATTCTACCATAAAAAACAATGACATTGCAAGCAAACACACCGTGTGGGCTAAGCTAAGTAGAGTGCCTGAAGTGAAGCCACTTATACATGAGTGAACTGTTAAACCTTTAGCTTTTACCTGCTTTGGTGGTGATGCTGCTGTCGCAACCTACTCAAGAGTCATTAGTGTGCTAACCTAGCAGCAGCTGCTGCTACGGAAGAGCTACTAGCCTTCTTATTGAAGCAAAACAGCGGCCTTTCTAATATGGCTAACTTACCAGCCGAGGGTCTGCCAAACAATAATCTCTCACCCCACGGTCAAGTCTTATCTTGGTTTAAAAAACAGGCTTGCGTATCCGTGTCACAGTTGACGTTAGCGCCTGACTAAAGACTGCAGGTGTAAACACGCTTGGTCATGTGCTTTCAGTCAGCAGGAACGCATCAGGCAGGGGGCGTGGCTAGCGTGCAGACCTGAAACACATAGAGCTGCCACTTTCACTGCTACCGAGAGGTATCGAGACTTTGACTTGCTCAAGTGCGTCATCAAATTAGTATTTATTTCTGTTGGGTAAACTGGGTACCTCATCATAATTCATTATTTTAAAAAAAAAAAGTAAAAACGGCTAAAAAAAGATAAAGTGGATGTGGGTGTTTGATGTGATTTAGTCAAAGAAAAACATTGAAGCGTAAGTGTGAGTGTAAATGGAGCACAAACGCAATTTTAACATACTAACAATACTAATAGAACAAATCTCCATACTGTAATGGAGTTGTGGTTATGAATTTAAAAAAAAGGGTATGATCCTTTTATAGACGAAAAGTCTGTCAATAAAGATTGATTCATTGATTGATTGAATCATTGATTGATTGATAAAGTAGATGTTTTTTCTAACTATAGATTTAATATTTATGTCTTTTAGGACTTTAACAAGGGTTACTGGGGAAAAGACCACATTATTTCATCAAACAATAAAAGTACAAATTCCAATCTTGACTTGGTTACTGTGCTCTAATTCTACACAAATTAAATGTGTGCAGGAAATGTCATCTCCAAAAGAATATAAAGACTTTACAGATTGAAATGTTTACTTAAAAGCCCAAAAGAATATTTGTCATGTCTCTTGGAGCAATAGTTAAAATCGTGGGGAAATACTGCCATCTAATGATCCACCTTAACATTGTCGCATGGGAAGTAGTTTCACCTCTGTCGTTATTTGTTCACTTCTCTCTGTGATGATAGTTTTCATTACATATTAACTATAGTGCTTAAGAGTTCTGTGCAGATTCAGTTTTTTCTCTTTGTTTTTAGTTTTCTTCGTTGGTCTAACCATGAACTATAATAATGACCAAGTGTTCACAGATAGAGTTGTGACTGGAGTCCAAAGATATGTAAATGAACTAGCTAACAATAGAAAGCATAGAACATGCCTAATTATTAACAAATATAGTTCAACATTTGACATTTGTTGCACCTTTAAGCATTTTTTGTAGGTCCTGTGTTGAACTTGTTATGAGAGGAAATCAGAAAAAGAAAAAACAGTCGACTGTATCTGTCTTGGTGCTAAGGAGAGATTATAGATGTTGCATTAAAGATTCTTTTTACATTTTTAATGCCCCAAATTGGGATTTTTAGCATTCTTTTGCAGGACAAAGAGCAAGCCACACACTGTTGTCCAGGTTAAAAAAAATGCTTGATTTAAATAATCTTAATTAATCTTTAATAAATGCTTTGCAGCTTTGACTTTCAAAGCTGTTGGCGACCAATCACTGAAGGAGGAAAAATGTCACTGCAGCATATAGTTTGCCATGGCAGCCCAGTGTATAATGCAGGCAACCCGAATCTGACCTGTGAAAATCTAAACCAAATTACTGTCTTAATACTTTTAGGTAACTGAAGTTATACACAGAAAGTGAAGAAACAATCAACAGATTGTATTGGTCAAAACTAAACATATATTCAGAAGTCATTTAAATACATATATGATCATTATAAAAGAGAGCTACAGTGAAAATGTTCATCAGTAATGGATGCGGTAATCTTGATTCCCTCTCTTCCTCTAACTGATGGATGCAGGTGAGGACCATCTCTTTAATTTGGAGCATTTGCATGCAAGACACTTTATTAATCAGCACAAAACATCAAGTATACAAACTCTGTGTTTGAGTCCCATATAGTGAATTTGTGCCTGCCAGTTTCTTTTTAATAAAACATGAAAAATGAAATATTAAATTGCCTCAAATAAAAGTTTTGGGCAAATTTTGAGCAAGCAATGAAAGAATCGAATCTATATTTGACATTGATTTTAGCAATTTTACAATAGCCCTTCACTCCACAAAGGAGTCTGCGAAGGAGAAAGACAGATGCGCAGTGAGATTTTAAGTACGTGACACGAATGTTGATTGGCCGGGAAAAGGCAGAGAGAAGATGACTGGACTAGCCCAGCGATGACACAAGCAGCTTGACAGCGTGGGAAAGTGGATAAAGCTTAGATTTATTTGGCAGCATATGGGAGCGAGCAGACATTGAACCTTCCCATAAGCTTCATTTAAGAAAAATAGAACTAGGGTGGGGGAAAACCTTGCATTTTATTCAATATACTGGAAGAAAAAAAAAAAGATCAGCACTAGGTGGTGAAAAAGACATTTTCTCAGGTTTGCTTCTCTGAAGAGTAAGGTATGCATGTTTCACTTGTCGTTTTCTGGTTGTGACGTTCTGCTCAGCAGTCTGCAACTGTTTACAGAACTGGACTTTATCATTTTTATCACTGTTTAAGCATGAAGAAAGGAACCAGAACTGCTGTTTACTCTGTTTATACACACAAATTTGGGACAAAAGAGACTTGGACATCAGTTATTTCCTGAGGAAGTTCACTGCTTACATTTCAAAAGACTAACATAAGCTTGCTGTACCATGATGAAGTAGAGTCTGCATATTACAGCAGTGTATCTTATACCAAGACATATAATTAGAAAACTTGCTGATATGAAATAAATTGCTGGTCTCACTGTGCAGCATTGATTCATCTCGTTTACTCCCCTGCAGTGAACAAATTGAATAAACAACAAAACATTCAGCAGAATTTCCTCCCTGTAGTCACCCTGTTGTCGGGTAGAAGCCTGAGGAGTGGACATTGCTGTCAAAGACAAAGAGGCTACATTCAGAACCACCGTCCTCTCACTGCAAAAATGCAGAGCTCTGGTTCACCCCCAAATCAGACCGTTTTAGTATATTTGACCTCTCTCTTCTTTTGTTGTTTGTAGCCTACAGCATATTAAACAGTTTTCATATTCATCTCTGTGAACTGACCGACCTCATAAGCGAGTGTGGGAACCTCCACCTGTTGCATACTTTCCAGAGTGGACATGCTCTTCAGCATTACTTCTCTGTGTAGCAGAATGAATACTGTATGCAGTACTTTTGTTTGTAATCCAACTACTAACCAATCATATTAGATGGCTCTGCTATAAATAGTAGCTGCCATCCTGCCTTCCTCAGCCTGAATTGGCTGTACTTTTGTTGATTGGTGTTACTCATGTTATCACCTGCGGATTATCTTCCTGAAGCCTCCGATCGCTGCTGGTATGTGTTTATTTTGTGTCACTTATTATTTTACTCGGTGGTAAATAAGTGTGTTTATGGGCAGTGTTGGGAAGGTTACTTTTAAACTGTATTCCACTACAGATTACAGAATACATGCCCTAAAATGTATTTTGTAACGTATTCCTTTACGTTACTCAGTGAGAGTAATGTGTTCTGATTACTTTGGATTACTTAATATTTTTTCATGCTTTTTACAACTACATGAAAGTACTATTGCTGTGTGATTTATTACTATTACTGAAGGATACTCGCCATACCAATACCAACTAGATTCTTAAATTTTAATATAAAATAAATGAGTAACAGTAGGGTGGACATTAGGTAAGGCTGCACTTTTTGCAGCGATCTCGTATAGAAAACTATTCCGCGTGTATATAAAACAGGTCCGCGGCTCCGAGCGTTAGTACAGGGACAGTTACTCATATTTTGTATTTTAAATACGTAACGGTGGTACATGCCGTTACTCCCCAACACTGTTTATAGGTTATAGCTGCAGAAGCCTCATATGGGCTACTTTGTTAACAAATTGAGCGACGCTGTTTGATCGGAAGTGTGGGCCTCAGTGGGTGGCTGATAACTTTTATAGCTTGGGCGCCACTGCTTCTCCGGGCTACACTGCTGCTTTGCCTTTTCTTTTGGATTTCTTTTTTTGTTTTGTTTTGTTGTTTGTCTGTTCTGTTTGCGTTGTTTGCCGTCTCACTGGAAGTGTTGGGATATGGGAGCCTGTTGATGTGCATGTGAATTGATTGAATTTTTTACTTAGAGCAGTTGGATGTATGACAATTTGGCGTGACACTGTAACCCCCCTAACCCCCTGGAAATTACGCCCCTGTGAGCAGTTGAAAGTGTAAATGATGACTTTTTGTCAGTGATTGGTTTTTGTTTCCACTGCTGGACAAAACTCACAGGTGTGGTTTTCAGTGAGAAGCAACAGCAAAACACAAATTAATTTAAAAGAAACAGAACATGCACTGGTGTTATAAATAAAGTATAAAGGCACTTTCTCCATTTAACCGTATATGACAGAGACAACGTCTTACTGTATACGGCGACATCTCTTGATGCATTTCCAGAAGAACTGATGGCCATGCAGGAATACAATCCACCATCAGAGGGCACCACCTCATCAATCATCAACACATTATCCACCACTCGCACGCGGCCTGAAGTTGAACTCTGACAGAGAGAAAAAGACAGAAGGTGTTTTTCTGGTCTGAAATCTGACTAAAGCACAGCTGCTTTCGAAATGAAACACAATCAAACCAACCAAAGACTTGAAGCATGATGGTAGCACTGCTCTCAGCAATCTTGTTGGTAGCCGTGCAGACGTACTCCCCAAAGTTCTTCCTGACAACAGACTGTGTAGTCATCTGGCTGCTGTCTGAGTTGAAGTGATGTCGGGAGGGGTTAAACTGAACAGGCCTGGGTAAGCAATATACAAATAAATATTATATTATTAAGGTGGTTACATAAAAATTGTTCCATGTAAATAATTTCTGAGTAAGGCTGAAAAAACACTGACAGAACAACTTAATGTGACCCAGTTTGGTTGCTGATTTTAAATTGTCCCTCAGGTAAAGTTACTTTTCATGGCAAGCATGCATATATGTTAGCTAACTAAAAAGAAAAGAATGAACTGTGTGATTAATTAGATAGGTTTATCTGCACGGTGGCACGGTGATTAGCACTGTTGCCGCACAGCAAGAAGGTCCTGAGTTCAATTCCAACATCAGGCCAGGGTCTTTCTGTGTGGAGTTTGCATGTTCTCCCCGTGTTTGCGTGGGTTCTCTCCGGGTACTCCGGCTTCCTCCCAAAGACATGCAGCTTGTGGGGATAGG